ACTTCCGTAGTGATACTGCCTCGGAAACCCAAGGAGGGGTCGCTATGAGTCGGGGCCGACTCGATGGCACATAACAACAACAACAACAACAATAAAAATACACCCCAAATTAAAGCAAGATACATTCATATTTACATACACATATACATTTTTAAACTTATCATACTGGCATAGATTAAAAAGTATGATAATATCTATATTTGGTCAGGATTTGGGGAAACATACAGCATTCATACACTGTTGGTGGGAATGTAAATTAGTACCACCTCCTGGAGGGTGATTTGGCAATATACATCAAAAGCCTTAAACATGTGCAAACCCTTTGGTCTAGCAATTTTACTTCTAGACATTTATTCTAAGGAGATAATCATGGAGATATACCTAAATTTATTCCCAGGACTCTAACAATAATGGTGAAACATTGTAAATATAAATAATACAATTTGGAGACTGGTTAAATAAATTATACATATGATCAAATGCCATGTGGCCATTAACATTACATTCTATAGGAATTTTTAATGATGTGGAAAAACTCATGATCTATTAGCTGAAAAAAAATTAGGCTACAAAAATTACATCCACGGTAATCCCATTTTTATAACAATAAATATAAAAACGGGCTTGCAAGTTAAAAAATGTGGAAGAACAGACACTAAAACATTGAAAGATCTTATCTGTGGGTGGTAGGATGACAGATGATGGCTTTTTCTTTCTTTGTGCTGTTCTCTATTTTCTGGATGTTTTATAGTAAATATGATTTGAATGTAATCACAAGAGTGCTACTATTAAACTCTGGGGAGCAAGAAGGATTGCCCCACATCTGTAAAAAGAGGGCATGAACAAGGTGACTCTGGGCCCTTGTGGGCTCTGACTTCCACAATCTGCCCCACAGACGCCCTTAGTTTTTATGCTCCATGTCCTCTGTCAAAACTAAACTCACTGCTGTCTAGTCAGATCCGACTCATAGCCACCCCTCCTTGGTTTCCAAGGCAGTATCACTACGGAAGTAGATTGCCCAACCTTCCTTCAGAGGAGTGGCTGGTGGGTTTGAACCGCCAGCCTTCTGGTTAGCAGTCAAATGTCTTAGGCACTATGCCACCAGAGCTCCCTAGTCATGTCCATTTGGCCCACATTAAAAAAAAAAAAAAACCCACCAAAGTCATTGGTATTGAGTTGATCTGACTTATAGTGACCCCTCCTTGGGTTTTGGAGATGGTATCTCTATGGAAGTAGACTGTTCAATCTTCCTTCTGAGGGGTGGCTGATGGATTTGAGCCGCCAGCCTCTGGTTAATGGTCAAATGCCTTAGGCACCACACCACATAAGGATGTAGTTTTAGATGCTTTCACTCAGGTAAGGTAGGCAGCCTGGGCTAATCCAGAAAGCACAAGCACAGCTGACATAATCTCCACTACAATCTTTCTGCTCTACTCTTTTCTGATTCTTACTTCCCCTTAGGAAGTGACAGTTTTTTTTTTTTTTTAGCACAAAGGGAAAATCCTCCCTGAGTCTGGTTTTAAAGTTCATCAAACTGCAGAAACTTACAGACAACCTCAAAGGCTTTTTCTTTCCAAATACTGCACATGTACATAGAGTAGACTAGAATTGCTTTTAGAAACTTGTCTTTCCTTGTTATTGAATAGCTACTATGTTGTGAAGGTGTGCCTGACTCAAGCCATGGTCTTTTCAATCACCTCATACGCATGTGAAAGCTGGACAATGAAAACAGGAAGAATGAAGAAGAATTGATGAATTTGAATTGTGGTGTTAGAGAAGAATATTGCATATATCATGGATTGCCAGAAGAACAGAAGCTCTGGTGGTGCTGTGGTTAAAGCACTGGGCTGCTAACCAAAAGGCTAGTGGTTTAAACCCACCAGCTGCTCCGTGGGAGGAAGATGAGGCAGTCTGCTGCCGTAAAGATTTACAGCTTTGTCAACTGGCATAACATACTACACAAAACATTGTTCCACTTCCTACTTCGGCGAGTAGCAACTGGGATCTTAAAAGCTTGCAAGCAGCTATCTAGATGCAACGATGGGTCTCTCCTTGTCCAGAGCAAAGAAGAATGAAGAAAACCAAAGATTCATGGAAACAAGTAGTCTAAGTGACTGGTACACCATGTGATCTGCAGCCTATATGACTATGAGACCAGAAGAACTAGATGGTGCCCAGCTACCACTGTCAACCACTCGGAGGGGGATCTGTGGAGGAGATCCTGGATAGAGAGGGAGAGCAATGTGGAATAAAACTCAAAATAATTTTTTGGGAAAAAAAAGTGGGACCAGGTTTGCTGCTCTGATAGAGTCTGGTGGAACCACTGAGACTATGGCCCCTAGCTGCCCTTCAGGTCTGCAATTGAACCCACACCTGTGGCTTCCAGCCAAACAAAAGATCTGAGGTAGATATACTCCTTGGAGAGAACAATCATGAGAGAAAGAAGAGCTGTTTATCCACAGGGAGACAGCTCAGGGGCAGGAGTGAATGGAGGGATGGACACAGGGAAGAGGTTAACTATCAGGAGGAAGTGAGAGGGGAGCTGTTGCATTGGGGTAAATTGTAGTCAATGTCATGAGATCAAGTGTATGTGAATTGCTGAATGGAAAGTGAATTTGCTCTGTAAACTTTCACCCAAATCACAAAAAAGAAAAAAGATTTACAGCTTTGGAAACCCTGTGAGTTTGCTATGAGTCAGAATTGACTTAATGGCAGTGGATTTACAGCTTTGGAAACCCTGTGAGTTCGCTATGAGTCAGAATTGACTTAATGGCAGTGGGGTTTGGCCAGAAGAAGGAACAAATCAGTCTTAGAAGAAATAGAACCAGAATACTCCTTAAAACCAAAAACCAAACCCACTGCTATTGAGCCTATTCTGACTCCTTGGGACCTAAATGACAGAGTAGAATTGTCCCATAGGGTTTCCAAGGCTGTACATCTTTACAGAGGCAGACTGCTTCATCTTTCTCCTGCAGAGCGGCTGGTGAGTTCCAACTACTGACCTGTTGGTTAGCAGCTGAAAGACTGCTACTGTGCCACCAGGGCTCCTGAATTATCCCCAGAGGATAAAATTTAACTAGGCAATCCCAGGACTGGTTCTGTTAGAAGTTCCCTGTTCTTCTAAGCTGGTAAAGGTAATTGTCCCAAGACCACCAGTTGCTGTCCAGTTAACTCTGACTCATGGCGCCCCAAGTGTGTCAGAGTAGAACTGTGCTCCATAGGGTTTCCAACGGCTGATGTTTTAGAAGTAGTTCACCAGGCCTTTCTTCTGAGGCATCTTTAGGTGGATTTAACCGCCAACATTTCAGTTAGCAGCCAAGCATATTATTATCTGCACCACCCAGGGGCTCTAGTCCCAAAGTGCCAGGCTAAAAATATTCCAGTGAAAGCCTGTGGTTTCCACACAGATGCACAAAGGCTCCACTAGTCTGGAATGGGGTGTGACTCCTGCTTCATTAAGACAAGCTGCCAGGGAGTTGTGCTGGGGCCCCGGCCCCCTCAGTGCTCCCACAGGATGAAGGTGGGTCCTAGCTGGTTTTCAGATTTCATCCTTATTTCATGTTTCTTCCTCTTGTGCTGTGAGACTCCATCTGCAGGGGCAGATACTTCTGGTCTAAATGGCCAGACCGCCTGCTGCGCAGGAGCTGCCCTGACTGCATAGGAGCTGCCAAGCTTTACACTGGGCCTTGCATGGGGCTGCTCTGGGCACGAGGCAAATACCCACAGAGTCTCATTGACTTCCAGAGGGCCAGGTTGTAACATACTTTGTGCTTCATATGTAGCTGTCACATCCTTAGTCTCATTTCATCCCAATGACAACCCTTCTAGGGAGGCATTCATCAGTATATTTCACAGAGGGGGAAGCTGAAGCTCAGAGAGGGTGAGTGCCATCCCCAAGGTTACAAAGCAAGAAGGCAGCAGAGTTGGAATCCAAGCCCAGTTCTCCCTGGTACCCAGGGCTGGACTCTCTACCACAGCCTCCTGGGAAGGCAGCTCCTGCCAGGCCTGGGGACCGCCCTCCTTCATCACCAGCCTGCCATGATTTTGCATAGATCCATTCACTACAAAGGCCTCCGAGTCAACCAACACCCTCTGGCCCTGCAGCTTCCTGGCACTGAAGTCAAAGAACAAACTGATCCCCTAACATGACAGTCCTGCCAAGTTCTCCTTCCACTGGGCCAATTCTCACTGCTCTTTCTGACATATCGAGACTTCTAGATGCTGCCCTAATGGCTCCTAAACTTTGTGTAGGAGGGGACAGCTGCACAGTCCCGTTTCATCTTATTTCTGCTATGGATCTCAGCAGCCTGGGCTGGGGACATTTATTCCAAGTATAATAAGCTAATATTTAGGTTTAATTATAAATGATTTAAGGCATGATGACACCATAGAGGCCATACTGGGATCCATCAGCCTCTCTTTTCTGAGGGGTGACACAGCATGGAGGGCTGGGACTGAGAGCCTTCTTGCCCACTAGGACTGGTAGGCACATATGTCCTGGAGGACATTTTGCAGCCCAGGGCTGGACTCTCTGTCTGGCTGGTGGCCTGGGTGGGATGCAGTGTCTGGTGGTGGACTCTGCATCTTTGCTTTGCCCCCCGGGCAATGGGGCTACAGATCAGTATGCTGGTGCCCCTCCATGGAGTTCATGCTAATGCCCTCCACAGAAAGGCCATTTCCACTTAGGAGCAGAGGAGGAGGAAGAGAGGAGTGCAGACAGAGTTGAAAGAAGGCTTAGGGAAAGAATATTCATTTAAGAGACGAAGGCAAAGAGCAAAAAATAAACGGCAAATTACCGGGTAGCCGTCTCGTCCTGATTGCCCCTGTGGTAATTAATACGTCATTAATAACCAGACTTTCAGCAGAAAACCATATGGCAACACTTAGAACTCAATCAAGGCCCCAGATACACCTCCCTCACCCCCTGCTCTGTGTGGTTTGCAGCAAAGTCCGCTGGTTGGTAACTCTTTCCTGGGGGGTAGGGGTACACCAGGGCTCTGATGGGTCTGGGGGCAAAAGCACCCTTCTCCATCTCCCCAAGGCCAGCTGGAGGGGCTACCAGCTTTGGGGCTTCATTAGGGATCCGGCCACATCACTTGGGGCACGTGGCAAACACACGTGGGAACATGGAGTTTCAGAAGGCAGCATCAACGCTCCTATGACCTAATTAAGAACTGAAAATGCTTTTTCAATCAAGGCTGCTGAGGGGCACGGAGGGCTAATAATTGGTTCCTCCCAATTATTAGGAACGGAACGAATGGAGAACCAGAGCCTCAGGAGCCAGTGGGAAGGGCTTCTCTGTCCCCAGAGCAGGACAGGCCTGCTGGGCAGTGACCACTCCAACGCCCCCTATCTCAGCCTACCCCTTTAAGTACAACCTCCCCCACGCCCCAATCTCGTTCAGGTGCAGCTTGAGAATTCTTCATTTGTCTCATATATTTAGTATTTTAACAGCCAAATTAAAAAAAAAAAAAAAAAAAAAAATCCCTCACCAGCCCTCTGCGTTACGCGTATCAGCGAGTTCACACAAACTAGCTTGCATGTGACAGCCAGAAATAAGTCAACAGTGAAAAACTGCTCGTGGCCAATAAATCCTCAAGTGTCTGTTCGCTTGCTTTTTGGCTCACTGTGGCGCTGTACGCACCGAGGAGCCCAGATCCCGAAAGGTGAGGATCAGGAGATGAATCAGGTCAAGTGGAAGTCAAAATGTAAAAATTGCTCATCCGAAAGGAATTCCTTCAGAAAGTTAATTTTGGCTCAAACAGGTTGTCTATGTACTTCTTGAATTGATTCATCAGGATTTATCGGGCTCTGAAAAATGGCCAAGGTGAATCAAAGCCAGACAGATCACGTGCCCGAGAGAATGAATGTGATTTCCAGAGCCGCTGATGACCCCTCGTTCAATGCGCCTCAGCCAGCCAAGGAGAGGTCAGGGGGCAGCTCGGCCCTGCCCCTCGCACCCTTCTCAAACTGCGAGGCATTTCCCCTCTGCAGCCATCGGAACTTCCTCGCTGCCTGGCTGTGTGCATGAGGCTGAGTGGCCCAATCCAGGGAGTACAAGATAGTTTGGCAAAAGAGGACAATGAACTCCAGGATCTAGTGATCGATCAAGCCCCACTTATTCCTGGAATAATCATCTGACCTCAGAGCACTTCTGCCAAAGCACGTGAGACAAAACATTTAAAAATACCAACTGCAGCAGAGCATTTGAAAAGTAGGGGTGTGGTTAACTGGGCTCCTCATGAAGTGGGATCCAGAAGAGTGTTTATCAATCAATGGAACGAGGTATGGCTCAGTTCCTGGAAGAAATTTTGGAATTGAATGCAAATCTGCAAATTAAGCAAGTTAAGCAGTGAAGAGTTGGGTGTGTGTGTGGGGGGTGGGATATGGGCATGGTGCTTGGATTTCTATGCACCTCATGCAATGACAATCTGGTGAGGAGCAATCAGGCATGTGCCAGCTCTCTTGGAAGGAAAGTGGCCACAGGATGCTCTGAGGGCACATCAAGCCAGTGGAAATCTGTGCTTACATTCATCTACAATTAAATAAAATACATGGTCCTGATCCAGGACTGAGATTTTTAGGACATACCTCTCTGATCAAAAATTATTTTCATGGAAATGCTAGAAAGTTAACAAGATGTCTTATCTTTCAGGAGCACAGAGTACAGTCCAGGATACTTACTGGAGGACCTGTAAAACACAAGCAGAAAGGCCACCATCAGACTACAGAGAGAGAAGGTCCCTTACCCATGCTGGCTATGGGTCCCCTGTCTCCTGTTCCTATTCCTTCAAGGCGTTGATGCCATCATGGGCTATTTCCTGTCATGGCCTTGCAAATAAGTGTCAGCTGCAAAGCCAACTGGCAGAGTGAAGGGACTGTCAGAGCAGGCCTTTGGGTGACAACGACAATCCCCATGCTTGTTGGTTTATTCACTCATTTAGTGAAGCTGCTTATTCTTGGCCTGGTGCTCACTCATGTTAGGTTCTGGCGTCAGGGTTGGGATCAGCCTTTGTTGCTGCTTGAAGGAAAAGCATTGGTGTTTACAGCGATTGCGACTTGGGGTTGAAAATGTTTTGGGCAGAGGAAAGGATCTGTGTGAGGGCAGGAGAATGTGATGTGTGAGGCTGAGCAAGTGTGTGAGGTGTAGTGCCTAGCCCACACCCTAGTGCCCAGGGTTAGGTGTGCTAAGCTGAGTGTGCACAGGGAAGTTGAAGGGGGTGAGTCCAGGAGCACAGGTGGTGCTGAGGAAAGGGCTGGTGCAGGAAGCACAGAGTTGCTTTTGGCAGATTAGGATTTATGGAAGAACAATGATAAGAAACCCACAGGAGTTATCACCTTACAGCTTGCAAAGCATGTTTCAAAGCCATTGTTGCATTTGATCTTCTCAATAATCTTTTGTGAGAGGGTGATCAACATCACCATTTTGATAGAGGACAATACAGAGGCTCAGAAAGAAGGCCAGCCACATGGTTGTTTTCAGGTGGAGCTCATTGCTAATTCTCACACAAAGCTGTGGTGATGCATTGGGCTGCTAACTAAGAGGTTGTTGGTTCAAACCCACCAGGCACTCCATAGGAGAAAGATGAGGCAGTTTGCTTTGGTAAAGATTTACAGCCTTGGAAACCCTATGGGGCAGTCCTATTCTGTCTTACAGGGTTGCTATGAGTTGGCATTGACTCGATGGCAGTGGGTTAACTTTCAAACTCCTATGCACTTTCCACTCAGCCATGCTTTTATCAGCCAGTAACTTCTCTGCTCCCCGTCAGACCCTAAACCACATGTTTGACATCCCTATTCTCTGGAGCACAAAGCTGGAATAGGGAGTAGCAGCCAGCCAATAAATACTTACGGAGTGCCAATGATGAGCTGGGCACTGTTACAGGTAAGTAATGGGATATACAAAAATCCAACCTATTGGGGTCAAATTAATTCCGACTCACAGCAACCCTGTACAACAGGGTAGAACTGCCCCCTTGGTTTTCCAAGGCTGTAAATCTTTTAAGAAGCAGACCACCACATCTTTCTCCTGTGGAGCAGTTGGATTCAAACTACCAGCCTTTTGGTTAGCAGATGAGCATTTAACCACTGTGCCACCAGGGTGGTAAGTAAAAGGAGTCAGATCCATGATTCACAGAGCCAGAATTCTCATTAAGCAGATAGATAGACACTTAAGAAAATAATCACACAGGTCAGAGAAGCATAGGGAACTCCAAGCATATAATGAGGGGCCTGGCTGGGCAGACTCAGAAAAGGAGGAGAGAGGCTGGGCCCAAGGAATGAGAGACTCTCTAGGTGAGGAAGGGATGTTGCTGAGACAGGAAAGCAGGCAGATGTTCAGGACATGCCAAGACTAAGGGGCTTTTGAGGAGCTTGGGGAAGTCAGATTGTACAACACTGTGTCTGTAATCACTGCCACTAAATTGAACACTTAAAAATGGTTAAAATGGCGACTTTGATGCTTTATCTATTTAAATCAATTAAAAAATAAAAGAGGTGTCTATTCTCATTGTCTGCAATGCCCCATCTTACACTTTCCTCACGACTGATTTGAATTCCATCCTTATCACTCCACCAAAACAGCTTTCTCCAAGATCTTCAAGGACCTGCCTCCACGTCACTAAATGCAAAACATCTTTCTCATCCTCATTTTATTCTGCTTCTAGGCAGCACCCACAGTGCACCATACCCTTATTTTTAAAAATAACTTTGTATTTTATTTGGATCAAAGTTTACAGAGCAAATTGGTTTTCAATTCATTTTTTTTTTTGATGTGCTCTCTTCCCGTTTTCTAAAATGTCACATTCTTCCCACCCCCTACCCCCAGATGCTCTGTCTCTTTAGCTGCCTCAGTCTCCCACTATCAGTCATCCTTCCATGTGACAGTTCCTCAAGGCTCAACTCTAGGTTTTCTTCTCTTCAATTCCCTCCTCTGCTCATCACGTTTCTTCTCTCCCATCTTCCTAGAGGATCTCCCCCATGCTCATGACTATAATACACAGATATATCTCCCTCAACCAGACCATGCTTCTGACTCCCTGACTCCCTTTACTATTTGCCTACTTAAGACTTCTTGAATAATTAAAATATATCAAACAAATGTCCAAAACTACACTTGTGGGCTTCTGCCCACAAACTTGCTTTCATAGTGCCTGATCTTGGTGAGCGGTATCACCTTCCATCCAGGTATGTGATCTGGAAGATAAAGATTCACCCTTGAAACTCTTACTCTAATCTGTTGTTTGTTCTTCTGAAATCCATCCTTTTACCTCTCTCTCCAGTAGCACAATTCTAACCCATGTGTCTTAGTTCTCTAGTGCTGCTGTAACAGAAATACCACAAGTTGATGGCTTTAATTAATAAACGGAAATTTATTCTTTTGCAGTTCAGAAGGCTAGAAGTCTGAATTCAGAGTGCTGACTCTAGGGACTGGGTGAAGGGCCCTCGATCATGGGCTTCAGCTCTGATTCTTATTCCAGACCCACTGGAGCTGGAGGCTTCTTTTGACTCACACAGCTACTACCTGCTGAGGCTGATGAATCCAAACCCGGCAGGTAAAATGACACAATCCCCCAATCAACAGGCAACATGGCAGGCCACTGGTCCAAGCCCAGGAACTGAAGATGAAGACTTAGACAAATGCAGGATCCAAATGTGCCAAATACCTTGAGACCTTTCTCAAAGCTTCTCCATATATACTGGGAGCGAGCTGCACCCCAAAGGCAGCTACTTAGTTGCTCACAGCAGATTCCACCATGGAGGTGATTACAGTTTCATCATGGAGAATAACAGCTACCAAGTCATTCAAAACCACTGCCCAGCCAATATGACACATAAACTTGACTACCACACCTTGTCTCCACATCTCTTGGCTATTGCAATAATCTCCCAACTGGCCTCCCTCTTCATTCATTCCATAGATATTTGTATTGGTGGCTCAGTGGGAGATCTTGCCTTCCATGAGGGAGACCCAGGTTCGATGCCCAGCCAATGTATCTCATGTGCAGCCACCACCCATCTTTCAGCAGAGTCTTGTGTATAGTTGTGATGCTGAACAGGTTTCAGCAGAGTTTCCAGACTAAGATGGACTAGGAATCTATTTCCAAAACTAAGCCAATGATGATCAGAGACTGGGATCTTAAAAGCCTGCAAGCAGCCATCTAGATGGGTCTAGATGGGTCTCCCCTTGTCCAGAGGAGAGAAGAATGAAGAAAACCAAAGACACATGGAAACAATTAGTCCTCTTGACCAGTACACCATGTGATCCTCAGCCTATATGACTATGGGACCAGAAGAACTAGATGGTGCCCAGCTACCACTGTCAACCACTCAGAGGGGGATCTATGGAGGAGATCCTGGATAGAGAGGAAGAACAATGTGGAACAAAACTCAAAATCATTTGGAAAAAAAAAAGGGGGACCAGGTTTGCTGGTCTGATAGAGCCTGGTGGAACCACTGAGACTATGGCCCCTAGCTGCCCTTAAAGTCTGGAATTGAACCCACACCTGTGGCTTCCAGCCAATTAAAGACAGGCATATTAGTTGACCATTTACCTGAGGTAGATACACTCCTTGGAGAGAACAATCATGGGAGAAAGAAGGG